CTTTTTGGACCGAAGATCGACTTTTCGTTCGACCAACCTCCCGGGATCGCCCCTTACCACGCACGTGCACACGCATGCAAGCGCGCACGCACCTTCACGCCCGCGCGCCATGACGAGAAGCCAAACACGAAAGCAAGCGATGCACTTTTGCAGCCTGTTGACTATCGTAGCTCACACGTACCGTTTTAAAGTGCTTCACTCAGCCCTCTAGATTCCTATTCTTTGCCCATGCCCTCGGTGAATTGTACACGACGCAAACTCTGAATGAGAATAATGACGATCAAAGATATAGCGCAACAGCTCCGATCACAAGCTACAATTGCAGACTGCTAAGCGCTAACAACTTCCGCTGACGTAGGTCACACGCCACCGTAGGTTAAAGATTTACCTGCTTTATTTTATTTTATTTTTAAAATATTTTTTGGGGAAAATGAGACTGATAGGATGATTAGGGCATGCAGTGTTCATTAACACAAAAAATATATTCCTAACATGTACAAAGACACACAAATGTTTTGTTTTTTTTTTTCTCCTCTACACCTTTCTGATCTAATTGGGACAAGTCCTAGATCTACCGGTCAATCAGGATCGACGTAATGGGCATCCTTGGTCTATGCATATATTGAAGTATGTTAGAAAATATAAATATAAAATCTCATATATGACAATATATTATTTAATGTATTGCATGATATCTTCCAATATATTGCAATATATTTTTCTTTCGTAAGGGCGCTGCTAGTATGTTATAAAAAAAGTGCAGCGCATACAAGCTTGAAGCTTTTAAGTGCGTCATAACAAGATGAATATGTCAGGCCAAAACATAACAAATATAGTGAAGCATAGAAAAAGAATTTTACAAAAACAAGTGGCCATTTATGTTCAATTTAATCACTAAAGTAACAAGTTACTTTTCGGAGGTAGCTGTGGAGGTGGGTGGGAGGGGCAACATAGTTGGGAAACCTGTCAGTGTGGCGTTTTTTTGGTTACAGTGCAATTCGGTGTTGTATTGGGAAGGGGCCGGCCTTCTTGGCTTTTTTTTATCTTTATGAAGGAAGCAACACAAAATATTCTTGCACCATTCGAGATTGAGAAACAAAATGTACGTGTTTAACTTCTCCACCAGAGGGCGCCACCTTCTCAGAATCTTTTAAACCCAGGATTTAAAAAAAATGGTACAGTACTTTTCGTAAAAGTATTTCACAAGAAGGCGGAGTAACCCATCGAATAATTACATAATTGGCATCGAAACGGAACCTAAATGACAGGCATGCAGTGCGCTTGTGTCATGGCAACACATGAATTAAATATCAACGTAAGCACAATTGAAATCAGCATGAAAATGATGTCGCATGACAGGAGGAAAGAAGGTGACCTCTAGTATGAGTGTACGATGGGAAATTCCCCTCAGTTTGTAGGAAAATGGTGACGTAGGCTGCATTTATTTTCACATTGTAATTGTGCACCGAATAGTCCGTTGATGTATACGCTTCTTCTTAAGGCCATCTTAGTGCACTGGTAAAAATACTTGTTACTTGTGAGGCAAAACTGCACTAGTTGACAACTGTACCATCTGGCACGTCACTAGTAGTAGTATCTGTGCACGTCAACAAGTGCAGAAGTCAAATGAAGGCACGAGGCCTTTGCTGTACTTTCCAAGCATGTGTGTTCTCTCGCACTTCTATTAGTGGCCACAGACGGTTGATCAGAAGGAGATCCGGGCTGTGAATGCACGGTTACGTAAGCGTCCCTCCGTAACCTGAACGTGCTGGGCCTGCTGCACCGGCCACGCCAGAATGGCGTCACTCAGCCGCTCGTACAACAAGAGAATCCAACACATTTTCCACAGGAAAAAAAAAACTTTATTAATACACTTATATAATGTATATCAACATTTATAGACAAAATATGTACAAACAGCAAACATCTTTCACGTAGGTCCCAAAATATAAAATCTCAAGTACCTCTCTCTATTAGAAAACTAGTCATCTGTTTAAACGTTTACATTCACTTCTTTTCCCCTCGCCGCCACGTTCTGGGATTCAAATGAGTTACAGAGCATAAACATCTGAGAGTTCTCAGCTTTTCACAAGTAAAAAGGCAACAGCAAGAACAAACGCCAGGTTTGACTTGAGCAGAAACAGATGTTGAGTATGCAGACCAGGTCCAGCACTGTGCTACAGTATGTACACACTCTTGAGTACGCAACCCTCGCACTCCTTCCTTCCTCCCTAGCTCTGTGGACAAGAGTGCGTGAACAGGTATCAAAAATAGAAATGTACAAGAAGTCTATCCACAATAATTACATTAAGATCCATACCGAGTGTGAATGAACATCTTTTGCATTCAGCGCGGCCATCACGGTGTTGAGACTTTTTTTTTTTTTTTTTAAGTGATACTGCTGGCGGTGACAGACGATCGGCGATAAACTTTGGGTGAACATTTGGTGTGACGGTTGTACAAAAAAAAAAAAAAAAAGGCATGTCTCCACTACAAAACCTCCAAGTGAAATGCGCCAGTGTTGTCAACATTTTTGACTCGAACAGCAGCATCTGAAACATCTTTCTTTACATTCAAACATGTGTGCGCTTGTGTGTGTGTGTGTGTGTGTGTGTGTGTGTGTCGGGCAGGTCCATTTGCACTTATAACATTCAATCATTTTCATCATCCACACGTGGACCATTTCGCCAGCCGTCTCTCATGAATTCCAAGATGAGAAGCGAAGTCGAGAAATGACTTAAATGGACGACAGGACGGCACAGTCATCTTCTCCCTCCTCATGTAGCAACTGGGCGGCCATGTTTTCTCAGTCTTTGGTTTCCAGGTTGAGGGGGGGTACCTGCTTTAGTGCCTGTAGGAGTGCTGGGGAGTCCATGGGCGTCTGAGACATGGCTGGCGCTGGAGAGCCTCCCCTTGGAGACATGACCATCTGCGGTGGTCTCTCGCTGGGGACGGCAGTGGCGCCGCCGCCCACGCCGGGGTACAGCAAGGGCATGGCTCCCGGGTACCAGCATTTCTCCAGCATAGGCAGGTAGGTGGCGGCAGTTGGGGGGATGAGGTAGAAGGGCATGCAGAGGGGATGCGGTGGCGGAGGCGGATGGTTGGGGGAGACGCTCATGTAGCTACCGTAACCGCTGGAGGAGGACGACGCTGAGGATTCGCCGCCCGAGAGCATCTCATCCTCAGACGACTCCGCCCGGGCTCGTTTGTGCCTGGGCTCGTCGTCTTCCCGCTTGACGTTGGAACTCTGCCTCTCGGCCGCGCTCCGCTTCAACAGCTTGCCCTCCTGGCTGTAGTACTCGGGATGCCTCTGTGGGGCGCCACACTCGATCTTCTCCAGCTCTCCTCCATAGCCGCTGTCTGTATCAGTGTCACTGCCGCTCTGCTCGCCGTTGGGCACAGCGTGCGCCCGCTGGATGACCGGCACCCTCCCGTAGCCCTCGCTAGGCTTAGGGGGTAAGCTGGCGGGTGTCTCTTTGTGGCTTTGGTGCTGGCTGTATGTGGGCATTTCCTCGGGTGGAGGGCTGAGGGGAGAGTGGGGTCGCTTTGGACTTTGGAGCACTTCAGTGGCTAATTTGTGAAGGTGGTTGATGACGTGCGATGGCGCAAAGTTGCCGTCGCTCTCGCGACTGGCCAGATACTGAAGCATCTCCTTGGCGCACATGTGGAAACCCGAGCGGAACATCTCCTCCGACTTCTCTTGGCTGACCAAAGGTTGCTCTACAAGCACAGCGAAAAGCAATCTTTGTTAGACCTTCCCCAAATGGACGTTGATTTAAATCGGTTGGTGAAATGTGGCACGCATACCACCGCTGATTCTCTCCACTGGTGCGACAAACAAATAAATCACTGATTTAAATGTTCACACTCCATAATTTTATGCTGGCTCAAACTTTTCATCCAGTACAGTACACTTGAGTTGTATTTAACTTTTCAGGACAATTTGTTTTAACACATTTATTCAGTTATAACTTATATTTATTTTAACCTTTATGTGCAATATACACTTTAATTAAAACATCAAGTCCAATTTTAGATTTTGTCACTCCAGTTTGACCACAAGGCCAAATTGTCACCAAGGGCCACAGGGTTGGTAAATGGCTGAGTTGCTCAGCTGCAATGTGTCACCAAATAGTGTACGCATCCTGTGATATGCAAATGAGGTTGCACCATTATCCTCTAAGGAGTTTTACTTTAACAAACAGTGCCATTGTCTAGTAGAAAGTTTTCAGCCCTCAAAAGGGCATTTGTTAAAATACTTGTGGATTCTTCTGTTTAACAGAAGAAAAATATTAGTACACTATTCCTACTCGTGGTAATTTTGTTGTTCTACTTCTTCCTTTCATAACTTTGCTGCTGTGAATTGGGAATTTCTCCATTGCGAGACTAATAAAGGTTTTCTTATCTTAATTACACTGAATTAATCACAAATATAAGAAGAGTATTATATTTGAGTGTTGATTGGTTGGGAGAAGTCACATGATTCCACAGCCTTGTAGTCAGGCAGGGGTGTCCAAACCTTTTCCTCCGAGGGCCGAATACAGAAAAATAGATGCATGGAAGGGTCTCTTTGGAATTCTTCCCTTACATTTATTAACAATTATAAAACCAATATATCAAGTAATTTTGTATTGTTAATAAATTGTTGCTGTTTAAAAAAAATTAAACTACATTGCAGCTTTCGGTTTCGTGGAGATAAGTCAATTTAGGGGTGGTCAGCAGCCCTGTGACCCACTCGAGAAGAGTCGTCCCTGCATTATGTTGATCTCCTCAATGAAATCAAAACAAGAGAAATATGTCCCAAGTTGACATTTTTTAGGATCATTAAAACTCATTCACCCCAAAGACATAGTCTTTTCAGACTCCACTCATGCAATCCCAGGTAAATATTTGTATTTTTTTCCCAAGAGTTAAGGTTTAAGATTGGTCTGAAAATGGACTATAGATGTTTATTGAATTAAAAAAAAAAAGTTTTCCAAAAATGTTTTTAAAAAATGAATTTGGAGAAAATGGGATCTGAAAAAAAAAGGGCCGCAAATGGCCCCCGGGCCATAGTTTGGACACCACTGTCACACATCAATGCAAATATTGCCAAACCTTTCTGCACATTTACTGGCTACTTAAAATTGAGATTCCGCTTCGTTTCATACATGAGCGATGCACTTTTTGCTCTGTAATTCATTATTCTTAAAATTCCTTCTTTTAAAAAAATCCTGTTTTCTTGGTTGCTCTACAGTGTCCTTTGAAAGGCTGTTTTGTCAAAAATTATGACGATGAATGCAGTTTACTTACCGATATGCATGCCACTCTGAAGGGCGAGGATCTTCTGCTGCTGCTGCTCCAGAAGAGTGCTCAGCGTCTTCATGTGCTTGAGTGTGAGTTCCAAAACCACGGCCTTCTCCAAATGGCCCAAAGTCTGCAGGAGACACCACGGCACACCATATCAGCACATTTTGCAAAGATGGTTCGTATGAGATGACATGCTCCCACACTCTGGGGGAAGAGGTGATGCGAAATCCACATGAATTCATGTGGAGTAGAAATAGAAGGCCCATTCTTTGTTGTGCCGAATGAATGCAAAGGGCACGCTGCACATCCAAATGTAATACGGATGCCGGCCCACTAGGTGGCGCTTTAACAGAATGAAGCCCATTACGAATCAGAGCCTGAGATAGATGAAAAAGAAAAAAAAACACTTACCGTAAGTTTTAGGTGCTCCGGCAACAAATCTTTCAACTGGGCAATGCATTCGTTTATCCGATCACGTCTCTTTTTTTCAATGAGTCTATGAGGCAGCTTGTAGGTCTCCTAGGAGAAAATGTCACAAAAGTCAGCGGCTTCTTCTCGCCATCCCCCAAAGATTCATGAGTAGTTATGTCATAGCGGGAATTAGGTCAAGCTTTTATTGCATGACAGGACACGACTGCTGCCAGACCTGTTTCTCCCACGCCCTTCAAAGTAACGCTACACTGTTCTTATTGTACGATTGCTTTCCAGTAATAAAACAAAAAAAACATACCTTGCTCTCCTCTCCTCTTTTCATTCCTCGTCTGGGTTTGTACGCGTACATCGGGAAATCCATGCTGCAGAAAGAAATATTTGTCGGAATGCGCATTCAAGTTGGGAGGTAGTTTTTTTTTTTTTTTTTTCTCCCACGCCCTTCAAAGTAACGCTACACTGTTCTTATTGTACGATTGCTTTCCAGTAATAAAACAAAAAAAACATACCTTGCTCTCCTCTCCTCTTTTCATTCCTCGTCTGGGTTTGTACGCGTACATCGGGAAATCCATGCTGCAGAAAGAAATATTTGTCGGAATGCGCATTCAAGTTGGGAGGTAGTTTTTTTTTTTTTTTAACTTACCCGTGCATGTCTGCTAGATCCCCCTTGGACAGAGGGGGAGGTTGCGCGCTTGG